GTGTGTGGGGGGGCTTAGTGTGGATTAAACACACAACTCTGTATTAATGGTCAACTAGACAAGTCATAAGTTAACCATTACCTCATTCCAAAATGCTTTGACAAAGAAAGATCAACTGGAACAGATAGAAACAGATAGAGAGTGAGAGAGATAGAGAATGGATAGAGAGTAGAGAGAGGGAGATAGAGAATGGATAGAGAGTAGAGAGAGAGAGATAGAGAATGGATAGAGAGTTGAGAGATAGAGATAGAGAGAGAGAGAGAGAAAATGGATAGAGAGTAGAGAGATAGAAAATGGATAGAGAGTAGAGAGATAGAGAATGGATAGAGAGTAGAGAGAGAGAGAATGGATAGAGAGTAGAGAGAGAGAGAGAGATAGAGAATGGATAGAGAGAGATAGAGAATGGATAGAGAACGGATAGAGAGATAGAGAGAATGAATAGACAGTGAGAAAGATAGAAAGAGAACGGATAGTGAGTGAGTGAGATAGAGAACGTGTCCCTGTAGATAAAAGCATTGGCTAATTGACCGAAAGGGTTCAATCCCTGGCCTCAGCGGAGAAAAACAAAAGCTAGAAGAGTTATCAAGGGGAGATTAACTAAAACTGAAATATCCAAAGGCATAGTACGTGGATTTAGAACAACCTACCCCTACCTATGGACTAAATAAAGGGTTTGATTTGAAATTCCAACAAAATATTATCTGAAGAAGGCCGGAGTGTACAACGGTTGAAACATCATAAATGTGATAGTAAAATGATGACAACAGTTTGAACAATTTAAATAGTGTAAATACTTGTAGGATTATTTAATGTCAAATTTTGTGGTGGGAGGGACCTAGTGTGGATTAAACACGCAACTCTGTATTAATGGTCAACCAGACAAGCTATAAGTTAATCATTACCCTGTTCTTTGCTTTGACAAAGAAAGATCAACTGAAACAGATAGAAATCGACAGACTGAGATACATAGAGTACAGATAGAGAGTGGGAGAGACAGGCAGAGAACGGATAGGGAGCGGGCGAGAGAGGCAGAGAGTGGATAGGGAGTGGGAGAGACAGGTAGAGAGTGGACAGGGAGCGGGAGAGACAGGCAGAATGGTCAAAACATGAGAGAGGGAGACAGACAGACAGATGTTGAAAAGATGGAGAGATAAAAACAGTTATGTATAAAGACAAAATGAAAATCTTTCCTTGACATGTTTCAATCACCAAGAGACTTGATCAAGGTAATAAAAATTGGACATTATTTTAAATACGGCACATCTCCTAAATTAACGTTTGGGCTAATGAGAATATCAGATTAAAAATAAATCCATTAATTTACAATAATGCAAATCTGTGTTTACATAATAAGATTGATGTTAAGCACATTTTAATGTCTTTGATGCAAGTGTAAAGGTACAAATATGGAAGATTATTGTCAGACAAGCATCATAGAATTATTGTGCTTGTCCTTCCTTTTGTTTGTTAGCTTCTTAGTGCGCACGACCCTTACGCCCTGCCAATATCTCATAAATAATGGATTATTCTGTTTCGATTGCATAGAAAGAGGGGAAAAGATTCCGATTGGTTTCAGTGAGAAAATGAAAGAAAGAAGGCAAGATAGAAGTACTTAACAGCCGCTTCAGTGAAATAGAAAAAAGTTGTCAAATACAAATCTTTTCATTTGTATCCCCTTATTTCTTAAAATAAATACCAGCATTCATATTTATGATTGTGATATTTTGTTAAAGTTGTTAAGCATGATAGCTAAGGCTTAAAATGAATTTTAAAAACTGAAAAATCTTTCTTGAAGCTTTTATTTAGATTTAATTTCAAGCTAATAGATTAAATTTAATATTTTCAATAAGCAAAAGACTTTGCTGTATTTCTGTTACCCATTATAGTCTATAGGTATGGCGTATGTCCCAGTCCTTATAAATACAGTGGAATATACTGTATATTGGATTCACATGTGATTCACTTTCCAGTGGACTTCTCACAGAGGCAGAGAGGAATCCAGATGAGGCTATGTCGAAGGGCAGTGTCTCATCTGGGGTGGTAGACAGCTACCCGACCCCATTTTTTATGGGGTCTATGGGGAATTTTTGGTTGAGCATATAGGCTTGGAGACCCCACAATAAACTGGGCCTTGTGCCACATCTGACCGTGTGAGGAGGTTAGTAAATATCTTCACATGTGATTCATCTTGATTCACTTCTAGCTCACCATGAGCAGTTGATTACTTACTACATGACACTGGTGAATCTTGTATGTTGTTCTTTTATAAATATTATCGTTCCATTTCCAACCTTCATTTTGGTTATTCTGATTCAGTAACCTTTTCCTTGGTTACAACAATTTCAAAAACTAATTTGACTCGAGAGTGCTTGTTTATTTATCTATTTTTTTTTTTGCTAAAATACTCGATGTAGTTTTCATTTGATATCAATATCATCTAAAAGGGTGAAATTAATACGAAAAAAAGAAAGGAAAAAAAGAGGAAGAAGGAAAAAAGACAGAAAGAAAGATAGAAGTGTTTAATGGTCTGTGTTTCAGTGAAATGTCAAAAGTTTTCAATTTAAAATCTTTCATTTGTACCCCCGTACTTCTTAACGACCTGCATTCATATTTATTGTTGTTATTGCAATGTTTTGTTAAAGTTGTTAAGCTGAAATATTTAACAATGTGATTGGGGAATTTCTTTGGATATTTTATTGTCATAGAACTCATCATGAACTTATTCAATCATTAACTGAAGAATTAAGATTCATCAGAAATTTCGAATAGGAAAACTGTAACATTAAGACTAAAAAGACCCATGAAAATGTTATGGTTTCCCAATTTGAAATTTCCGATGAATCTTAATTCTTCAGTTAATTACTTCATGGAAATCATCTCATATCAGATTGATAAAAATCTTTTTGTTCTTTTTGTAAGCTGTATAAATTTTATAGAAGTGATATAAACTTTAGATTAAAATCATAAGCAAATTTTCAGAAATTAATGATGCTTTGAGAAATATTTTTTTATATATGTATTTTTAAATGAATAAGGTTTTTTTAAATTTTTGTTTTAAAGTCAGTTAAAGTTTTGGGATGTTTCCTTAGATTTTTTTTTTTTTTTTTTAATTAAATTTTTTTTATTTTTACATTTTACAGATTTATTTTAATTTTTTCAGATTTGTTCAGAATTTTTTTTATTTTAAATTTTTTTAAATATATTTATTTTTTGAAATGTTTTTCTTTTCTAGAAATTTTTTGTCTATATCTTTAAGATGAAGTCTTATGATTATGCAAATTAGTTCATGCTAAAGGGGTATTAAGGACAAACAGACAGACAGAACAGAAGGGGTGACAGGGAGTCTCCTTGAAAGATTCCTGTTTGGATATTCAAACAATTAGAAGTGGCCGTACCTTTGATGTGATTCAATTATAATGTGGTTTTTCACGCTATATTGAAGGTAATTTACTATCACTGTGGAGACTTTGTACATTTCCAAAACTTTAACGATCCAAGAGTGTGGCACACTATCAAAGGTTTTACAGTATTCCATGTTTTCTTAAGATTTCTACCTTTTTTTTTTTTTCCTGCAATTTTCCAGGATCATTTTATTTATTAGTAGTTGTTCTTTACAACCATATAAACCCCTTTGACATCCCTTCTGTTCTAGGGGAAGAATGTTGTTTTCTTTGAGATAAAGAGTAAGTGCAGTTCATCATGATAGGCATGATCAATTTATATGTAGTAGACAGCATGTTATTGGTCTATAATTTTTAGGATCTTCTGTTTTACTCATTTTTGGTAGGAGATATGTAATACCTCAAGTGATCCATTCTGGAATTTCATTGGGGTTATTAATTATCATTGATAAAATTTATGCAAGAGTTTTATGGATTGATGACAGGTGATAGATTAAAAATTGATACCTTGTCATTTTCTGGGGATTTCCATTTTGGGGATTTTGTTAGAGCTTGCCTAACATTATTCTTGTTTATATTTTTCCATTCTTGTACAGGTTTAGCCTTCATTTTTTCTTGTTCTCTTTTGATCCACTCTACATTGAGATTATAATCCTTTAGGCTGCTCCAAATATTCTCCCAAAAGTTTTGCAATTCCTCAATAGATGGCAGCTTTTTAACTTCTATAGCTTTTCCAATTTCTCATAAAAATTCTTGATGTCCATTTGGAATATCTTATTTTGTCAATAGAACCTAAATGGCTTTTATTATTATTCTTTCATTAATATTCCATCATCATCATCATTATCATTACTATTATATCATTATTTTTATTATATCATCATCATTATTATTAATATATCAATCATCATTATTATTATCACTCATTATTATTATTATATCACTCATTATTATTATTATATCAATCATTATTATTATCACATGATTATTATTATTATTATTATATCACTTATTATTATTATTATTATTGCACTATTATATCATTCATTATTATTATTATATTAATCATCATAATTATCACTCCTCATTATCACTCTTATTATTATTATTATTATTATTATATCACTCATCATCATCATCATAACCTTTATTATTATATTAATCATCATTATTATTATCTATCAGCAACATCATTATTTATCATTATTATTATTTCATCATCATTATTATCCCTCAGGATCATTATTATCCATCATCCTTATTATCTAGCATCATTGTTCCATCATCAACATCATTATCTATCATCATAATTATTATCATTCTATCATTATTATTATTATTTTATATTTGTTATTATTCTATTATTATTATTACTACTAATATTACTGTTGCTATTGTTATTACTATTTAAATTAAAAAAAAAAACCCTCTAATTGCTTTAGACACCTGTCTCTTATTATTACTACTTTTAATGGTTCTATTACTACTAATATTACTATTATGGTATATTATTTATTTATTTTTATATATTTACAAAAAAACTCACCTTTTAATTGATTTTGACACCTGTCTCTTTCAGGTGTAAAAATGCTGTAGTGCATGGAGGGTGAATCAGAAGCGCCACCATCTGCAGCAGAGACTGTGATGGAAGCAGGATGTGCTGCAACTGCAACGATGGCTCCCAATGTCAACCATGACGCTGCCATACCCGTTACCATGGTGCCTGTCACAAAGCAGATGTCAGACGCAGCCCAGTTCTCTTACTCTGCAGTTTGTGCCTTAACACTCAGGCTTCTCTACTCTGACGACTGCCACAGGTTAGCATTCATTGCCCCCTCCCTCATTTCTTATAAAATCTTGCTACGCTTAGGTGCTTAATAGCAGTGCCAGGGTTGGGGGGTGGTGATGGTGCAGATGGGGGGGGGCATTAATTTTTGTTGTTTTTGTTTCTGTTGTTTTTGCTTTTATGATTTTGATTTTTACATTTTTTTGCTTTTTGATCTTTTTTTTTCCAATTATTTCTGCTTATATAATATTCCATATATATATATATATATATATATATATATATATATATATATATATATATATATTCCATATATATATATACCATATATATAGTACAGTTCAATTTGTATTACAATGAATCATTCATACAAAAGTCAAATTAGTAAAGTTAATGATATAAAATGACGAAATCCCTTCACTAACAAAATTTTAAAGATGCATTAACCTACCAATCGCTCAAATGTTCCTTGTTTTTTTTAAATTTTAAACTGTATAAATACGGAAGTACTTTTGACTGTACATTCAGTCATCTTCAGGCATGGAAATTATTTTGTTTAGGTAAAATTCAGGTAGCATCTGAGATGAAAAAATTAAATGCGAATCGAATATGTTTTTCTTTTTTCTATAGATGTGTTACTGATTACGGATACTAACTTTTTGAGCATGCAGTCGCAACACTAATGTTGAATTTTTTTGAAAATTTAAGTGAGTGTGTTTTTTACTGATATGGCAATTGAGAATTTTTTTTGATGTAGGAGTTTATCAGTGTGTGTGTGTGTGTGTGTGTGTGTGTGTGTGTTGTAGGATTTATTAGTGTGTGTATATATATATATATATATATATATATATATATATATATATATATATATATATATATAAAAAAATTAATGGATAGTAGCTTGGATTGAGGAATTGGAGAGCTTTGTTCAATTCCAGTCGGATCTGTTACATTCACTTACATGTGAATACACTTGGGAAGGTATGAATCCTCTTCTCCTCCTCCCAGCAATGGGTAAATAGTAGGAGAGACTGGGTTATATAGCCTTGGTTGGCAACTGGTCTAGGAGAAGGAAAAAACTCTGAATTCGAAACCAGCCTGCTGAGGGTTGAGCTCTGTCAGTCTATCTTGCTCAAAAAACATCACTTCTACTATGGCTGCAGTACACATGTTGCCCCTATGATCCATAGGGTCATAGGATAAAAAAAAAAATAAAATAAATGTGTGTGTGTGTGTATGTATGTGTGTGTATATATATATATATATGTCTAATCATAGAATTGGAATTAAGATACCATTAATGAATGATCATTTTTGCCCGTGAATTTTAAATTTAAAATTCACAGGATTTTTCAAACTGTTTATGGTGTCAGTTTGTTGAAGAGGACTGGTTAGCTGGAGAAAGAAAGAAGAAGAAAAAAAACACTCTTTGTGAGTCAGTTTGAACATTTAATTTCTATATTCTGTTAATAGGACTCGCTTGGATTATACCAACACATTACTATCTCTGTGTGTGTGTGTATGTATGTATACAAAGAAATAATCACACATAGAATCAGTCAGAAATACTAATGCGATTATTGGCGACATCCATTGCTAGTAGTATAATGTATGCATTAAAGTACTGTTAGTCCATAGACTGAAGTGATCCTCGCATATAAAATTGATGTCTGTTGTTTTCAGTTTATGTGTTCTTAAAATGCTAGTACTTACGAATAGTTTTCTATTCATCATCAGGCATGTGTTTTTTTCCTTATAAAATCAAAAACTTGAAGACGAAATAATTGTTTGTCGACTGAAAGATGTTTTTTGAATATCTGCTATTATTGACGGTTGTGTACGAAACTGGAAACAGACATCAATTTTATAGAGGAGGATCACTTCACTCTATGGACTAACAGTATTTTAATGCATACATTATACTACTAGCGATGGATGTCGCCAATAATCAGATTAATATTTCTGATTGATTCTATGTGTGATTATTTCTTTGTATGTAAATTATATGCTGCCTAATGTTTTTATGTTTTTATATATATATATATATATATATATATATATATATATATATATATATATAGACAAAAGAAAATTTAGCTGACATGCTTTGTCCTCTAATGAACTTTATGAAGGCAAATATAATATATATTATTTTGCAACAAGTATTTATAAACAAACATAAAAATTTTATTAGATTTTCAAAATTTTTAAATTCAAGAGATTCTCATATATATTGATCATATTAACAGAAAAGACAAGGTAAATTATGGAAGATACTAAGTGACATTACCTGATGAATATTTATGAGCATCTCTTAAATTGAAAAATTTTGAAAAACTAACAAAATTTTTACTTCTATATAAATAAATGTGAATGTCAGTGTGTCACACTTTTTCAACTTTACTCCTTGAAGCCGTAGCTTAACATATCATACCATTTTGGAATCAGGTCGACTCTGAGAGCAAATTAAAAACATTCTGGGCCAGATCCAAACCCACAAAATCTTGAAATCTTGGATTCCCATGTTTTCTTTACTGCAATTGTTTTTTTTGCAATTTTTTTTTTGATATTTTTTTTTGAATTTTTTTTGTATGATAACAATAACCTGAAAATAAAATTGAGAATAATTGAAATTAATTGCAAAAATCACCCATGAAATAAAAATAATTGTTTGTACAGAAAGTAAGGACCTACATACATCAAATTGTCTTTAAGTGGCAGCAGAAGAATTATTGTTGAACTTTTAAAAAGGTAAGCTTAAATCTCAATGCAATACTTAGATGCAGCAATCAATTTTGAGTTCTTTTGTAGCCTGTCACATATGGCAGCAGTGTGCCTCATCAAAACAGAGGGTTAGATTGCAGTCAGAAAAGCCGAGGCTGCAGTGAGAAACAGAAAGTCCTGCGCAAATGAAAACCCAGATCAAACGGCAGCTAAGAGAGCTTCCAATACTGAAAAGATACAAACACTTAGGGTCTCTCAAACTGCTTAACAAACTGAAGGCCCAATCAGAAGCACTATGCTGGAGTTAGCTTAAATGAAGGCCCAGTCAAAAGAACTATGCTGGAGTTAGCTTAAATGAAGGCCCAGTCAAAAGCACTATGCTGGAGTTAGCTTAAATGAAGGCCCAGTCAAAAGCACTATGCTGGAGTTAGCTTAAATGAAGGCCCAGTCAAAAGCACTATGCTGGAGTTAGCTTAAATGAAGGCCCAGTCAAAAGCACTATGCTGGAGTTAGCTTAAATGAAGGCCCAGCTTAAATGCCACCTGATAGGACAGCTTTTAAGCTTGTTCATTTATAAATACTTGTTGGGAAATATAATCCTCACATTTGCCTTGATAAAGTCTGACAGAAGATGAAACACATCAGTTTAAATAAGTTTTTCTTTTGTCTTTTGTCATATTGTCCTTTTAAAGAAATATTGTAGTTATATCTGAAATCCAACTTTATATCCACTTATAAATTTCTTGTTGATAAGCCGTAGAAAACGAACCAATCAATCAATGAAATACTGATTAGCTAAACAGGAATGTCTTTTAGATTTATTTACATTGTCTGGAATATCAATGTATAGAAATGTAACGGGTCGAAGGTTGAGTTGTTAATGTAAGTTAACCCCGTGTTATATGTATTAGTAACTGATAGATGATTCCTTTTCTCTTTTTTTATACTTTGACTGACATGAATAAAATGTACAATAAGACTTTGAGACATGTGTTGACATTAATGACAAGAATTTATAGGTTTCTTTTCATGAATGTTATTTACAATATCGCTATTGTGTATGTTAAATCTTCTCAGGGTTATTGTCTGTTTTTGGTCCTTTAAAATTTCCGCTTAGTTCTTTATAATTGTTTAGAAAACTTTCTGGTTGAAACTGTCAACTCTGGATTTTCACGGAGCAAAGAAGATACGTCTGTGTTTATCTTTTTACTACTGCTAAGTTTGCTTGTGGTGGAAAGGTTGTTTTTATAATGAAGTTTCAGATCTTTATTTCTAGAACAATGAAATATCATCATTACTCATGACAGAAACTACCTTGACTACAAAGTGAGGGATCAGTTTACATATTGATTGGGATATAAAATTGATTCCCCACTTTATATCCACATAATTTCTTGGTTTATTAAATTCTGATTGGGTATGAATCCAGCTTTTCTCCCCCAGCTATAGGTTAATTAGTAAAACTTGTATCACCAAAATCATTAGTACAGTTATACTTCTGTTTAAGTCATTTTGAGTTAATTCATTTTCAAAGATATGTTGGTTTTTCTTAAATCTTACTTATTATAAAACGCATGCTCTGTGTGTGTGTGTGTGTGTGTGTGTGTGTGTGTGTGTGTGTGTGTCTGTATCTTTATATATTGGACGGATTTCCTACATTTGTCAACCGATTTCAACAAAACTTCACAGGACTGTGTAAAATTACCTTGCGGTGGTTCAGACAGCACCAAAAATTGGGAAAACACAATTGTTTTTGCACGAAATCAATTTGAAAACATGATAAAACATGATTCTGTCACCAGAATGAAAGGGGGACAACTCATATCGAGTTATACTCATTATAAAACCCAGGTTGGTTGTGTGTGTGTGTTCATTTATATATGGGATCGGATTTCCTACATTTTTCAACTGATTTCAACAAAACTTCACTTTTTTTTTTTTCTTTTTTGGCAGATAGTGTTTCTTATTGTCTTGCACACTTTTTTCTTTATTTTTACATTCAGAATGCTTTAAAAGTTCCATAAATTCTATTCAATCGGTAGACTCATAACGATTGAAAACAATGTTTTTGTTTGGGTTTGAAAAAAAAACAAACTAATTAAGACATGTGTGTTCGTCAACTTTAAACAATAATCTTTCTCGATTTTATTTTTCAGTCTTTATAATGGTCAATACTTGATCTATCTCTTACTGTTACATCCCCAGGCAATGTCGGGCTCTACTGCTAGTATTATATGAAAAAATAAAACTCGCCTTAGGTCAATGTACATATCATCAATTGTGGTTTATAATACATTTTTGCCCATG